TGTCCAGGCTGCCTAGACTTTGGTTCGGGAAGATGACGACGAGGAGGCGGACCAAAACACCTTCCATCGTTGCCTGTTATTAGAGTGTCGGTTGCACTATCCTAAATCGTTGCCTCTGCGCCCACAGACACCCTTAAGTCAAAAATACTCGAAAATTGTGCGTCCCAGCATGCCCATTTGTGACCTCTTCACTCGTTCGTCCTACGTCCCAGCTGCCTATCTTCCCTCGATATGTGAAGCTCCATTAGAGCAACGGTCTCTCATAGGCCAAGACCCGAGCTTTGTAGATTATGACATAATTTCCTCCTCGCGCTTATAGATAGCATCGTAATATTGTAGCGGGAGATGGCCGGTTTTTGATGAGGCAAATGACCCATTGCAATTGGAGTAACGCCATTATCGGTGTTTGAGGCGAGGTGGTGTAGTAAGATTGAGGTGGAGGACTCGCATGAGAATGATAGGTCAAGCATTTGTCGAGAAGTCGTCGATTTTAGACATGCTTAAGGTTGCTTTCGAGTTCGATTTGGATGCGATTCTTCTTGGCTATTATTATTGTCGGTAAAAGAATCATGTTTGGGCAGTATGAATTGTTCTATGTAATTGCGGTATTCAGGTTGTCGTTAGGACACTGACAGGGATCTGACATCGCTCATTAGCGAGGTGCTTGGAGTAGAGGAAGAAAGGGGAGATGGAGAAGGAGAAGGGAGGGACAAAGTTTGATGTATTTCGAGATACCAGTTTATTGACTTTATTCACCGACTTCGTGACAGCACCTAATTTGTATTACTTCGTGTTTTACCAACAATTGTGAATTATGAGCACAGGACAGTGGTTGGCAGTAGACTTAGAGACAGTATAATAGTGAATGTCTCAGGTAATCTGAGTGAGATGACTCAAGAAAGGATTTGATGTTCTAGAGTATGTTTAAGAAGAAAAGCGATGATCTGGATGTCACTGTAGGCGGTACTCGACCACTCATCTATCTACATGTTGGGCTTTTCAGAGGACTGCCATTACCCGTGCACAATTAGATTAGATTTTATAATAGTTCTGTCTAAGTCAATGACTATGGAGGACTTCTAGAATCTACCTGAAAGAAACTAGCTAATTTTGGTTTATTTAAACATGATAAATTGAAATATTTCCTTGTAGACAGCGAGGAGGACCTGTGCACGATTAATCCCGCGCCATGCAACATCTGATTCTTCATCGTTGCGAGTTTACTAAAGAAAGGAACAAATCATTTCAAGCTATAGAACCACTCAAATTGCCCATTTTGTTTCCAACAAAATGGGGGAAGGAGGCAATACTAGAGTTTTTAAAATCTTCCAGGTGTATCAATGTACACAAGAAAGAGTAAATAGAACAAAAGACATTGAGCAGATTTAAAGAACAGTAAAGGTAGGAGAGATTATTTAGGGGATTTTAATTACTTGGTGTAAATTTTAGATAAATTATCATAGCAAAACAGCTGAATTCAAAATGAATTAAAATAAATCCCGCGCCTGATCACAACTCCCAGAGACCAGGCTTCCTCATTGGTTCGATACAATCTCATGACCAACCAGTCCTTCATAGTCATAGACTCAGTAGGGACTTAAATTTAATTCTATTCTATTCATGACCAACCACCCACACTGCGAGATAAAGAAGTCGGCACTGGAGTAGGCTGGCACATATCTCTATTGGAAAAAACGATAATTAAAGCTATTAGAGTAGCACTCCCAGCGTGGCGTACCACTCCCAATGTTGCTCTTCATCGTGAAGCGGGAATACCCCCGGCATCGATAATTCTTCAGCAAAAGATGCTGCGGTCTGCAGCTCGTATGCGAAGAATGGATGCCTGGCATCCTCTTGCCATTCGGGCGGCTGAGGATCCGAAAGAGACAATAAGACGCTTAGGTCTTAGATCGGGACAAAGAAATCGTTTGTTTAGACAACCAGAACGGTACATGACACGCCTACAAATGAGTGTGCGTCGAGTTCCGACAGCCGAAGGCCCCGGAAAGCTATACTTCCCACGTGGCACTCCAGCATCGATTCCATGTAGTCGAGAAAATGAAGCTAGGTCTGGAAGCATAAAGCGGTGGTTAGCTTCCCGCCCAGCTAACACAGTCTTCGCTTTCTCTGATGGATCATCATCGGGTCCCGGAAAATTATCCTGGGGGTATGTAGTATACCAAGGAGGCAAGCTAGTTACAAGTGGCTCCGGTCCACTTCCCGGAGCAGAGGTATTCGATGCAGAAGTTGTAGGTGCCATGAAAGCCTTGAAGGCTGCAATAGAGGTAGGAAAAGACTTACTGATCTGCATTCTTCTTGACAACCAAGCGGCCACCCAGGCGCTCGAAAGAGGAAGATCTAACTCCTCGCAGTCGGTGGTGGACAAGTTTTCATCGCTGAGACACAATAAGCGTGTGGAAATACGCTGGATACCCGGGCATGTGGGGATTCAAGGCAATGAAGAGGCCGATAAGCTGGCCAAATCAGCCTTGGGAGCTTCCAATAACCGGCCACTAACCTCAGCTGCGCCCATTCTAGAAGATCAAGATCTAACATTTGCGGCATTAGGGAGGTGGGTTAAACAGCGTAGCCAAGAGCTCGTGGAAGAGTGGTGGCAGAAGTATTGACCGAAACGATACAAAGATCTGGACCTATTCATGCGTTGCAAAAGACCACCGGAACTAGCTTTACCAAGATGGGCGTACCATCGTCTTATTGCGGCAAGAACACGCCACGGGGACTATGCCGACTACCATCGACGTTTCAACCCCGAACATGAAGATCTGAAATGCGCTTGCGGCCGAGAGAAAAGGCCCTGGCATTTTTCAGAGTGCCGACCTGCTTTGCTACGTTGGAGAATCTATGAGAAAATGGCCCCACCTGGGGCCAGAGAAATGATAGGGGAGAAGGGATGGCAGAAGTTCATTCGGTTCTTAACTACAAGCCGATGTTACAGTCTGCCGAAGAATGAACAGGGTGGGAGGTGACCACGCTGAGATTGTTTCTGACCCGAGAGTAGATGGGTGTGGAAGATAGGGATGCGGCGCAGGGCACCGTAACTCAGACACATACTGTTCTTTTTTTTCAATCTTTTCTTTTGCCGCTTCTGGCCCCACTGCCGGTCATGTAGGTAGCAATGAGCTTTCAGAGCCCATCTACCCGTGTCACGTCTAAATAGATGTTAGGTTCTTCCTGTCACGTAAAAGATTTCAAATTCAAATGACCAACCACCGATGTCTAACCGCCGCAAAAGCATAGCGACATCTTTGATTGGTAGAATAGCACATGCATTAATGTGCCGAGGGTTGGATGGTGCAGTGGTACATCATTCGGGCCGTTCTCCCAAGTAGAATCTGGATAGCTTGAACACCCTCCCCATTTGAGACTGGAGAAAGCTGGTTCGAATCCAATAAAACCCATACACCACAATCTCTCGCGGTAATATTGTATTTGTGGGATGATGAAAGCATACTTGGGTAAGCATAGGGTTTTCCCGCTTATCCCTGTCGTGGGTATGCACGGAAGAGGTTGTACGCCGCAAGGGTTAACCTCGAGTGGTATCCGCAAATGATATCTGAGTGTGAGTGTTCTAAAAGTCAAATAGAGTCATCCTACTTAAAAGTAAATATCTTCCCATAAAACCTGTATGGGCCTCAAGGCGCCAAATGAGGGAATGAATGAATGTGCAGAGCAAATGCATGTAAATGGATCACAACAGCTACCCCAGATATGCAAAGCATACTCAGCGATTGCACCGCCACCACTGGGGGGACTATTCTCAACACCTGTCAGTGTTGTCCCCTACGAACCTCCAGCTCTCACTGAAGTGTCTGGAGAGCCAAGATTGAGTAACACCTTTTCAACTTTGAGCTGAGTTATCTCCCCCTCTGTCAAAGATACACTTCCGATAACACATAAGACGACCAAGACGATGATAATGATGCTGGGAATGAGGAAAGATAATGCGGTATCAAACTCTAGAACGGTAGTCAGAGAAGCCCTCGTTATATCACAACATGTGCTGCCCACCGGCGGGCAAACAAAAAGCTCACGAAAGCAAAGTAAAAGACCCTTCCGCCCTCAAGAAAAGCCGATTTCGACTCGTCTATGGTATCGTCCCTACTAATCTTCACTCCCGAGCATACTAGCCAGGAGGACATCTGAAATACATGAGTTACCCGACAACTCCACGTCCGTAACGACTTTTGGATGCTAGGCTAGGCTCCTTCACGGTAGTCAATCTTGACAAAGCCTTTTCTGATGCTCTTTCACGACCTTCGGTTTGTTCTGCGGCATGAATCAGGGGAGGAGTAGGGAGGAGGCTAGGAAGGTTGAGATACGCTCTCAGGTATATACAGGTCTGCTGCGCCAGGCTGACCGGCCTCTTCGTCATAGGAGAGCCCCGTACCCAGTGGTTTTTGAGAAATTTCCCTGCGGCTACACACCCGCAAATGGCCATCGTTTTGTTGGTTGGAGAGAGGAGATAATGACGGGATAACGGCTCCTCTTCTTGTGTAATCGAATGAAGATCTGTGGGGGTATTACTGCTGGAAAGAAGTCGTAAAGGAGGCATAGGAGGGAGTACACTACCCGAGGCATAGATACTCCCGGCCTGTAGGCAGAAAGGACCTACATGTCCTTACATAGCCATAGACTTTATAGGACAATAAACAAATATAAACATACAAACCGCCACCACCGGAAGGTGAAGAAATCGTGTTTGCCGGCTCAAATCAGGAATAAAGTTCGTAAGATTTGAAACTGAAGGAGGAAGGGAAGGAAGGCACCCAAAGATTTACAAATTATCATAATTTTCAACTGGCCCGTGCGTATATAGAATCACAGTACAATACCCGAAAAGAACAACTGGATCAGAGGCCCCTAAGGTAGAAAATACAGGGCCGCAACATAGGGCCAGTTTGAGGCGAGGCATTAGCTTCTATAGCAAGATTTGGAATTAATGCAAATAACTCAGGTATTTTGTTGGAACCAATGACCTTTTATTGACAATTCTCTGTCTCGCCTACAGTAAGTTTATTCTCAGCAAGAGCAGATATCTCGCTAGAATTATTACTGCTTGAGACAGCAATATCGCCTTTAATTTTATCCATGCGATACACAAATTCTTCTTGGAGCCTTTTTAGCCAGTCGACTAAGATTTTGCCCCGCATCGGGCTGTTTTCTGCTTGTTTTAATGTCTCCCTCAATCCAAGCACCAGTTTTCGTCTTCTGGCAACTGCAAAGGCTACCGATGATTTTTTCTTTGCCGAAACTTGAAGATCCAAAGCCTTTGAAACTTGTTCCGCCACTTCTAACACAATGGGTGGTAGATTTGCCACTCTTGCAAGCGCAATACCGTAGTGTTCTTCTTTGACATACCCTTCTCCAATTTTGTATAGCATTTTCATGGCATTTTCCTCACTCAGATCAACAACAAGATGCAAGTTAACAACTCCTGGGCGCTCTGACAGTACCTGTGCTTGATACTTTTAGTGTAGAACTATCAACTGATAGAAGGCTTACCAAGTTCTCGAAAATGAGTTGCGAACCAGATAAATGCCCCACTTTGGATAAGGGTTTCAGAAATACTAATTGCAATAGCAAGACCATCTCGACTACTAGTTCCTCTACCAAGCTCATCGAAAATTACTAAGCTATCTTTGTCAATATTTCTGATAAAACTAGAATCAGTCTTGAGGATCCCTGATAAAATTCATGGCACAAAAGCTTGCCTCAGGATAAATGCTGTCTCCCTCATTTCCGAAGCAAATGTTGAAATATTAGCCTCAAAGCTATCGTCAACAGAGATTCGAGCAAATAATTGCTTAATTATCGGAAATGATGCATAAGATGCAGACACAAAGCTCCCCATTTGAGCCATAATAGACATAAGGGCAATTGATCTGATATATGTACTTTTACCACTCATATTGCACCCCGTGATTATTTGAAATCTCTTATCTGAGCTTGCATAAATATCATTAGGAACAAATTTTTCTGGATGGACCTAGAGCTTAATTGTCAGAAATGAGTGACAGGACTGATTCCTTAGGCCTCTTAATTTTGTGTTACCTTTTCCCTTATTGGATGACGGGCAGACTTTATTGCAATGCAATCTGTAATTTCTGGCTGGATGTAGTCATTTGTAATTGCCACTTGGCCAAATGCTACTAACATGTCTAGCATTGCAATGCTTTCGCTAATCCGAAATAGAAGTGGAATTTCTCCCCGAATATTATCAATCAGTTGTTGAATTGTCTTGTCACTCATTAGAATAACCTCCTGATGAGAATCCTCGATCCTCTGATTAAACTTCATGAGATCTAGAGTCTGGCACTCGATATATCCTTTTTTTCGAAAGCAATTGACCAAAACTTCGGGAAGTATTTTGCCTTCGAAATCAGTTTCAGAGACCCTAAGATAATAGCGGCGACATTTATCAAATCGAGTCTCTGCATTCATTTTATGATTCTCTAGGTGACGTTAGGGTGCAAATTTTATTTTCATAAATGAGGCACACACGATTGAGATCTTTAATATATTGGTGCACATCCTCGGTGGCTTCTTTGAAAGTTTGACGAGCCACGTCGAGAAGTCCACTGACTCCATACTAGGAACTTGAGAATCTAGAATTCGCCCAAAAAGGTAACACAAACCTTCACAGCGTATGTTCTCTGATTCCGTAAATCAAGTGGAGTTTTTTGATACGAGACGTCCTCATTGATGACCTCTTCAATTAGCTGTCTTATATGCACCACATTCTCAGCACAACAGTTAACTCTTATGGTTGATAGAAGAGAAGATTTGAATTCTCCAAGAGCGTCAGAAACTTTTGGAATGACATTAACAAAACTCTTCAGCATTAAGATTTGATTTATAGACTGTTCAGAGTAGTGAATATCGGGTCTAATAGGCAAAATAGTGAACTAAATTATTAGCTAGCTTTTTGACATTAATTTTCTGACTTGCACTACTTAATAGCTTTTCAATATCATAAATAAGCTTGAGGACTATAAATTTTTAAAAAAGTCTCGAATTATATATACTCAAGGGTAATCAAACCTTGCCCAATTCCCATAAGTACATCTTCATTTGTGATTAGCTCTTTGAGGGCTTGATAACGTTGATTTATTACATCTACTTGGGTCGATGGCTGTAATATATTGCTTTTTAAGAGTCTAGAGCCCATAGGTGTCAGTGTCTCATTCATGAGTCCAAATAAGCAGTCCTTAGACTGTGATGTGCGCATATTTTGGATCAACTCAAGTGATTTAACAGTTGAAGGATCAATCATCATTGAACCTTCAGAAGTCTGGTACCTCACTCGAAGAGTGTGTGGAGAAAATTTGAGAGATAATCCTAGCTCAATGTATTTTATTGCCTGTATAAGTCTCGTAAGATGATGAAAAAACTAAATTTCTGTACTTACCGCAGCGAAACAACAAGTTGCAAAGTAATTGGTACCAATTGCAGTCTTTATTGCCTCAACATCTTCTTTAAATGCAAGCTGCTGTATGTTCTCTAGTCCTAATGTTTCTGACCAATATTTACGCTCCAAAGTAGTAATTTTAGTCCTTCTAATGTTCTCTTCGATGACCATGTACATTTTTGACTTTGGATTTGGGGGACCACGAGTTGAAACGATTAGGATCTCTGAGGGCTGAAAGATTTCGAGCTTATTTAGAGTCCTGACGTAGAATTGATTATCACAGATCTGAGACAGAACTGCCTCACCTGTAGTTGTATTCACAAATGCCATCCCGACAGTTGGGGATATTCCACGAGCTTCACTGACGGCACAAATAATGTTGTGTGACTCAGTGTTATTAAAATTTGATACAGATGTTGAATAACACGGCGAAACCGATCCTTGATCATTAAAATATTGAGAAGTTGAATTGTTAGGGGTAGATAGTCTAGAGCCCGAAAGGTGAGAATTAGATGTTCGGGAATCATGCATCCTAGACGAAATCATATTTTCTGATATTAATAGAATAATTGTTGCATAGTATATAAAATCGTGAGTAAATAATTATTCAATTATAAAGCTTGGGGGTTAGAAGGAATCTTTGACAAAAATTCGGGTATTTAATTATGTGGGCTGACTGTCCTTTGATAAATTTAAAAGTCCAGCAGTCAGTTCAATTACTTTAGGTATTTGATATGGACTGACTAGAGCTTAGCGACTTGAGACACTCCAAGTTTTCCACGGTACTGTCACCAGATATTATTTGCACGTGGGAAAACCAACTCAAAATTGAATTTAAGGCAGCTATTATATATTTGGACACACACTATATCAAAATATCACTAGTCCCGTAAAGACCAGTTGATAGAGGTGGAACAGGCAAGATCAAAATATTTGAAATATCTGAAATATCTTGGGTCCACGTCCATGAATTTGTTTGACATCTAAGATCTTGTAATCGATTTGTTTTCTCGGAAGAGAGACATCATGTTTCTGGTCATTGTTGGAAATTGAGAGACAGAGTGTTGTGGATGTTCGGGCCCTCCATTTGGTCTAGGTTCCCGGCACGATCTTGTGTGTATTTAAGAGGTTGGAATGGGTAACATGGTAGCGCTTCAGGCTACCTATTGGATACATGAGTGGCTGTATGGCGTGGGTACAAGGAGGTTTTTTGAATTTTGAATTTGAATTCATTTAGCCCGATTTGGCGCCCTATGGGCCCATGCAGGTGTCTACGAGCTCTAACATATACATGGGAGGAATCTTTAATGGTAAAACCCCCCTCAACTTTTCAATTTGTATACACTTTAAAGTTGTGTTACTTTCACGAAGTGAACTAACACTGCTATGTCCAGTACGGATACCGTCCACTTAGTTGCTACTGGCAGGAGATCATCTTTCCCCTACTCTCCTCTCTATCCCTTATCGTGGCCTCGACTTCAAGCGTCACTCGAAACTGCTCTAGCCTTTCTTCCTGCTGGATCCATCTAGTTATCCTTGCAATATCTTTTGGATTGTTCATATTCCCTCAAATGGCCGTTTCTCAGCCTTTCTTAGTATTTCTCAGCCTTTCTCAGTATTTCCCCTCTGCCTTTGGCCCAGCTAGTGCAGGCCATGATCATGTGCTTCACATTCTGGGACGAATATCCACATTAGCATCGTGGATTATCTACTTCTGGAACTTTTCTTCTGTACAGATAGGAATTGAACCCAATATGTTCGCTTCTTATCTGCATGGCTATGCTGCTCTAGGCCCTGCTCAGGTGTTAAGGGATACTGTAAGGTGTTTCTCTTCACTTCATTCCTGTCTTTCCCATCTTATCATCTGTAAAGATATTTGCTTCATTCCAGATTTTAGGATCTGCTATCGCTTAAAAGTTGGTAGGCTGTTTTGCTATCAGTTTCGTCCGGGATCGTTCCTATTCTTTAAAGGCCGCGACCTTTTCAGCCGCTTTCTGTCGTTCCTACTTCTCTATATTCCTACACGTTTGACCCCACTCCGCAATATCCAAGGTCCTCGTGAGAGCTCGTACATCTTGCCTTCCAGCTCGGGTTGCTTAATCTTCCTGCATGCCGACGACATTGTATCTTGAACAGGTAGGCTTTTCGATAGTCCGACGTATTGGACCGCCCTTTGTTTCAAATAAATCTGCATCGGTAAGGTAGAGGTCTCATGCTCAAGTACCTTGCTGCTGGTCGAATTGTATGCTCCCGTGACGATATTTAGACACCTTTTTTGGATACTTCGAAGTGGCTTGATCACTCTTTCGGGAATTTTACCGGCCATTCCGGCCTGGGTCCCAATTGGGGATCCGTAGGTGACAGCTGGTCTCACCACTGCATTGTACACAAGTTTCGCCTTGTGGAACGTTGCACCCCAAGTTGATTGTGTTGGACTATTTTGTAAATGGGAGTAGAAGGTAACAAATCATCGAAGGGTTGCTTCTCTATTCTCTGGCTATCGAGTATCTAAAATACATAGTTTTCCTCATTTGAAACCCTACTAGATAACTCGCTGGCAATAATGCTACCACCGAAACATACCAAACCATGCTCAGGACAGATAAGATGAGAATGTCATCGGAAACATAAATGTAAACCCAATTCAAATTATGAGTTATGTAAAATCCGAACAAAAAGATATTTTCCTTGATACACATCATGTATCAGCATTAACTTCTCCGACCTGAATCATGTTATGAGTAGATTCGGGTAAACCTAGAATGACCGTAGCGCAACAGATTGTGCCAATCTATCTAAGGCTTTTATTTGTGGTTCGACTTTAAGCTGCATGCTTTTGACATGAGCACCCCAATTGAGCTTCGGGTCAAGATGGATACCTAGGATAGGAAGGGAAGATTGCGGCTTGGCGAGATGGCCTTGGATTTAGTCTGTGGCCTGCATGTTGTGCCTCTTTCTAGCTCTTGAGAAGTGCATAAGCTGGTACTTCTCCGGAGTAAGTTTCACTCCATGTTGGTCGGCCCACTTTTCACGAATCCCATGGAGCCTTTCGAGGTTTCGACAATTATATTCTGTAGAATTGGACCAGGTCAGTATCTTAGTATCATCCACGAATCTTATAGCCGTCGAAGACAGCGACTGAAGTTCGGGAAGAAGCGTGCTGACAAAGAACAGGAAGAGGATCGGCGAGAGGGAAGAGCCTTGAGGAATCCCAGAACTGGTAGGAAACTGTTCTCCTTTGAACGAGCCAAGGTTCATCGACGTAGTTGTTTCCTCTAGAAACGATTCGATGTAAAGCGTCGTCCATCTTGGTATACCTTTAACCCTCATGTTGTGGATGAGTCTCTCGTAAGACACATTATCGAAAGCTCTAGATATATCCAGGCTGAGTAGAGAAGTGACTCTCCTTTTGTTTTTTTCCCATATTGAGTGTACTTGTTCTGTTAAAAGTTCCACTGCGGAGATTGTAGATCTCAATTGTCGGGCTCCCATCTGTTCTTTAGGGAATAGATGGTGAGCTTTGGCTGCTTTTGATAATCTGTTGGCCACAAGCTTCTCGAGAACTTTTCCCTAGGTATTCAGGAGTGCGATTGGTCGGTATGATTTAGGGTTATCATACGACTCTTTTTGTGGCTTGCACAGCACAATTGTTACCGACTCTTTGAAAACTTTTGGGTGGTAATCCATGGAGATACAGGCGTTAAAAAATTTCTGGAGGACTTTGCCTAGGATTATTCGACAGTTTTTAAGCATCCAGTTTGTAATACCATCTGGGCCAGGAGCTTTCTCGCTCGCTAGGTTTGCCATGTTATCCTGGATCTCGGTTTCTGTGATAATGCTCGATACTGTGGTTAGTTGTTCCGAATATCTTGTCCCCACTATGTCTTCCAGATTAGCTTGGGTAGGCTGAGGAAAGAAGTGTCCCGCCAGTAAGTCTGCTTTGTCGGCGTCTTCGGTAAAGATGTTTCCGTCTTTGTCTTTGATGTCGGGAAGTTGCGGAAGTTGTGACCGCTCTTCCTGACTTTTCTTAGCCCACTTGGCAGCTACCACAACTTAGCTGGATCGTTCGTTGCCTCAGAGACTATAGCTCTCCATCCGATCATTTTGGCCTTCTTGATCTAGCTTTTCTTTCTATTAGTGGTTTTCTGGTATTCCAAACAGCTTTCCTCGGAGCCCAGCTTAATCCACAATCTTTTTGCCTTTCGTGCTTCTTTCACCGTCTCACAACATTCCATAGTCCAGTAATGTTTAGCGAAAGTAGAAGGCCTGACACTGGAGATCGCTTCCTTGATCGTTTCCTTGATGGCCTGCTTAATGGCGTTTACTCTCTTGTTGATAGAGTCCGGGGAGATCAACTCGGTTTGGCGGCTCAATGTGAGATTGTGTACAGATTGGGATGTGGTCAGATGAGGCTTTAAGGTCGAAGGCTGGCTTGCATGACATGACAGCACCTTCCAGGGCATTTGATACAAAGGCGAGATCCAATGTGCTCTGACTTCCCCTACTCTTCCATGTGATTGTTCCTTTGGGGAGTATGAGGTTTAAGTCATGTGCTACCTGCATTTTGATAAAGCTGTCTGCGATCTTGTGGTGCCTAAATATTGCCTCCCACCCACTGCGGATGGTGCACATTAAAGTCTCCGACCAGAATGTGTTGGCCTTCTTGGGATAGGATTTGTGGTGGCCACTTGAGTGACCCTTTTTCTAGGCTGCTGTGGTGTGGTGGGGGTGGATTGTATACGTTATATATCCAAATTCTACCTAGGCCAGTGTCGATGCTGACCGAGGTGGTGTCTCCTTGCGGTTCCTCTGGCACTCTTTATTTTATCCATTTGTTAATGGTCAGACTTTTACTAATGTATATGTATGTCCTGCCTTTGTGGTAACTTGAGAAGACAAAGTGGTAGGCAGGGTGAGTGACGGTCGTGTTTTCTGTCTGATGGCACCTGCCCCAGCAGACCCATCGCTTTGCTTTGAGCCGTCAGAGAAGACGAGGATATCCCATGGTGGAAGTGCGCTGATACGCTCGGAAAATTCTTGGACCGAAAAGTCTGCTCGAGTACGATTAAGCAGAGCTTTAAAGGAGGGAGGTGAGAGCCGAGGGCGGGGGAAGGGCGAAATGAGCTTCAATTTTTCGGTGAGGCGAGATTGTACGCGAGGGTCTTTTAATCTTCTGACCGAAGGATGAAAGACGTCCGCGGCAGCTAGCTTAACAGCGGAGCGGAGGCGTATCTCCTCAAGTAGAATATGAGCTGGCTTGAGCCACACCTCTATCAGAAGTGCAGCAGTAGGAGTAGTTCTGTATACTGATAGGATTGCTCTGGCCAGGTTGACTAAAGCTCGAGAGATCATGTCTACCAGGTGTTGAAATCGGGTTGAAGTTGAACGTCCTCGGTGAAGATAAGTGTGACCGCGCCACCAGACCTTAGCACCATACAAGAGGACCGGTAGCGCCGCAGCTAGGGCTGCAGTGCGCAGAAAAGTTGTTGGGAGACCACGGTTGGTATTTCCAAGCTCTCGTACATGGGCACTAATCTGTTGCGATTTAACACTTTATTCTTGAACATGTTGTTTGAAAGAGAGCTTTGTGTCGAGAAAGACACCTAGCCATCTTAGAGTAGAATTTGTATTTTTTGGGACGCCATTAATAATGACCGGAGGAGAAGTATGACGAGATCTGTGAAGATGAAGGATTTCGGTCTTGTTTTCTGCCAGAGAGAGTCCATTCTGCTCGCACCAACGGGTGATGCTTCCGACCCTGTTGGTGGTCAGATGAGAAGAATCGGCAAGAGTTTTTGCGACCGAGAGGATTGCTACGTCGTCTACGTATCCAAATGTAGGAAACCCGAGTTTAAATAATGGCTCGAGAAAGAGGAAAAACAATATAGGAGAAGCAGGGAATCCTTGGGGCAAGCCATGCGGAATATCCAAGAAGTCACCTACAAAATCACCCACCCTGGGACGAGACTTCCTGCAAGAAGCAAAGGAAGTAGCCCAATTCACGTACGCTAAAGGCCATCCCTGTTCGCGTAGACGAGTGCGGAGACGGCCAGGCTGAATGCTATCAAAAGCACTTTGGATATCGATGGTGGCGAGTGTGCACACCTGCTTTGTCTCCCACGCTTTTTCGACATCGTGAACCAAACATTCTACGAGATCCATGGCAGACTTTCCGGGTAGCGCTCCGAAATGCAAGGGGGAGATAATGCGATTTGACAAGGCCCAGAAGGCAAAGCATCTCGCAAGGAGGCGTTCCAGCCCTTTCCCGAGAACTGGGAGAAACGAAATCGGTCGCCAATTGGCAGGATTGGTGAGATCATCCTTGTGCGGTTTAGGAATGACTACCACTTCGGCGCGGCGGGAGATGCTGGGATGGTGACCATACGCCAGGCAGAGGCTGTAAAGGTTAACAATCCACGAGCGCCATGTATCTACTTCCCATACCAGGCGTAGAGCTGAGATAGAGAGGTGGTCATGGCCCGGAGTAGTTGACGAAATTTCCAGAAGACAGTGGCGCACTTCATCTTCGTCCACAGAGAGATGTGCGCGGATCGCACGCAGTGGGCAGGTGGGTGTATTTCTGGGTATATCCGGTTGACCAGTTGCGCGGGAAAGCTTAGTTCGAAAGAATATATCTGCCCGCTCGGTCGGGGTGCCGTACGTAACACCATGAAATTGAATAGGAGGGGAGCCAAAGCGACTAGATGACTTCCGCCATCCAACAACTTTATGGGCCTCCAAAATCGAAGACACATTATCCAACTTGAGCCGCTTGTGTTCGCGTTTGGCTCGTCTTATAGATTTCCGGAAATTACTGTGTGCCTCACTAAAGAGATCTTGATCACCAATATGGCGGGCTTCGAGATACCGAGGCCGTTGGTCTGAGCATTCGTGGTTCCAATAATCTTTGCATGGAACGCATGCAGGCCTCAGGGGGTTAGCTGCAAGCAAAGTTGCCAAGAGAGCGGCGATGCCCGATGAAGTCACCGCATCCAGGCGTTGAGAGGATGGGTCTTCAAAGGGAAGAGTGGGAGGTGCGGTGGCGAAGAGGGCTAGACGAAATACCTCAGCATTCTCGTCTTTGAATCTGGGCAGCTTCAGCATTGGGTGTCGCCTTTGTGATGACGAGAGCTGGACGAAGCCGGATATTGTCTCGTGGTCGGAGGTTGAATGTGTCTCCGGATCCACACGGGCTTGAAGTTCTTCCATGTTCGTAAGTACTAGGTCGAGGACATGGCCGGCGCGATGAGTGGGAGCTCCGTAAGGCAATGCTGACCTCAAAGAATAATTGTCATTCCATTCAACAAAGCTGCTGAAGCCAGACGACTGGGAAACGTTGGGCTCCCATAATTCGTGGTGGAGGTTAAAATCCCCCACAATTATGGTATTCGGTTTAACCGATCAACTTCGGAGTGCGCCGAGGCTCTCAGGCATTCGAGCTTGAGGTTGACGATATACATTTATGATCTCTAGAGAAGGAGAGCACTGGAGATGGATGGCGATGATATCGGGTGAGAGACCACAATCCAGTTGGACAGGTCGGAGGTTAGATTTCTTTCGGACATAGATGAGAACGCGCGGGCGCGAATTTTTCCAGTCACAATTAGGAGGAGTGAAAATAACGTAGGCCGGATGGGACTTGGTTACTTTCTTTTGGTTAATTGTTCTTATCCAGGGCTCTTGGACAAATATCACATCATATTTTCCCTGTAATGCAGCTTGTAGAAGAATGAGGTGAGAAGATCCACCACGCACAACGTTTGCTTGGAGGAAACGGAGGCGAGGCGGGGGGGTGCTCCTGAAATAGACTCTATCGGTCATGGGAAGTACTGTTGGAGGGATTATTGGAGACTTGCTGGTCTAGGTCTACTTCCATGGACCCATCCAGAGCAGAAGCAAGAGGAGTGAACCTGTTCTGGCTAGCAGAAGGCGTGCATTGAGGAGGAACGGAGGGGACTTCCGTCGAGATATTCGGTGCACCGAGTCTGCTAGGAGAGTTGGAGGTTGCGGAGTTGGCAGCAGCTACTGCGCAACGCTCTTTCCGGAGATTATTACGGTTACGTGAACGGAGTTCCGTGATTGCTTTCTCTAGAGGATGGATGAGTTTGCCCTTGAAAGGGCAAGGGCGGAGAGGACAGTTAGAGTCATCTGCAGAATGTGGCCCCGGGCAGTTAATGCACCGACACATGTGGCGGCATTCTCCTTGGTGACGAATGGCACCGCAACGAGCGCACAACGCTTGAGTGCGACAACGAGAGGATTGATGAAACCCAAAGCAAGCATCGCACTGGATGACCTTCGACTTATGGATATAGCGTCGTGAAGGGGCGCTGTCAACGATTCGAAAAGTGGACACCTCTTTTGAGAAGAAGATAACCGCCGTGTGTAGAGAATCATGGCGATCTTCATGTAAAGACTATTGGGCGCCAGACGGAGCGACGCCTGTCTGTGTCTATGCGATGCTTTTAACGTCATCAAGGGTGGTAGGAACCAGATTGGAGACCGGATTCCAGATATTGCGTGGGATACGCTTAACAACGTACCCAATGCGGTCCTCAAGTTCAATTAGAGTACCTGAAAGAGACGCCTTTATGGAATCGGCATTTTCCATCGCAATTTTTAGCTATGCATCAGACGAGAAAGCGACGCAGAAACCATTAGAGCAGCGAGAAACGGAGGCAATTCCATCCTTAAGTCCGGGAACATTTTGAATAAAAGCAGATTTGAATGTGGTTACGCCTGCTCTGAGGAGTGGAGCTTCCTCAGAGAGGCGGAAGATAGCTTTTGAGCCCTTGGTGATTGCAGCTTTTTTCGGAACGGGCGTACAAGAAGGGCGGGACGTTGTGTTGGGTCGAGACGAAGACGGCGCCGGAGGGACAGTGGCGGGAGGGCCTGCGGCGGTCGATGCCCAACTCTGTGGTTGCTTTGCTGTGGGGATAGGAGGTCGTGCTGGTATGCTTTGGCTAGGCTTGGGTAAGGAGCCCGCTGACTTGCGCTGTGTTTGGCTGTTGTATTGCATATGGTGCCCGGAAGCAACCGCAAGGAGAAACGTGTTCATTTGCTCGCGCACGAAGGACTGGATGAGAGGATCAGCCTCTTCAACGGCTGACCAAAACTTGTTATGAAAAGTTTGAACCCAAGTAGCTCGACCCTTCGCAACGTGCTGGACCAGAGAAGGTGGTTATTGTGATTTGGCCATCACGGGCGCGATAACCAAACTAAAATGCACTTATTAGGGATTGAATTAGAGGAATCGAGTTGTAGGGAATAGCTGGAAAGGAGTAGGGCTACGTTCCGTATCTTGTTGTTTGCGTAATGATAGTTGTGCTTGTCTACGAACATATGGGTGAAGTCTGAGGTGGTCTGGTCATTCAGGTGGGACGAGGCAGATGTACTTTACGGTAGTTAACCTGATCCGGCCCGGCACCACCCGTGCTCAAGCCCCAGTAGGAGTGCAACGGGAATCACTATACCTAGCACGTAAGTGAACAAAACAAAACTGGTGGCTTCGCCCTTGCTACTTCCCAAGTAGGTGTGCATGGCAATACTCTAATTACATGATAGCGTGTGGCGTAGCACCTACACCTTTACAGTTAGTCGCCGAGGCCCTTCACTCCTTTGATGTATTTCACCTATTCTCGGGATACAACTAATAGATCCACTCGGAGATAACAAGCCATTCATCCACAACGCATGGCTCAAAGTTGAGGCAGAGTTTAAGACCTATCTATTCCTTCTCTAGATTTCTAGGGCAGGTCCTTATGTGAAACTTAGAAAGATAAAGCCACTTTGCTACATGTAGGACCCCTTCCCAGGTTCCTGGCAAAATTTTCTTTAGGTCCTGTTAGACACTGAGGGTCAAATGAAAAATGTAAAGTAAAGTTGTATTGATGAAATCTCTGCTCCTTAGCTCCTCTCCAGCAGTGATGCTATATACCCATCTGAAATTATCTCGAGGAGAGATTATCTTCTCCTCGTTTCCCAAAATTACATATGGAATATATTACATGTGTTGAAGATCAAAAGATCTCAAGTCAGAGCTTTGACTATCCTGAACATCCTGATCATCCTGATCACCATATCCCTGGTGAGATATCAAAGCTCAAGTTAGTTAAACTGACAAGATGTGTCTTAATAATCTTTTTTTATAATTATTTAACGTCGTGCTAGACAAGATGTGACATTGTTGTGATTGGCAAGTATTAGCCAAGATAGCCACGTGATACTCATAATGCACGGACTCTAGTATATCTCTGCTGCTCAGTAGACTTAGTAGAAGTTATCGACATTAAAACTTGTTGTCGATATTGTATATGTATGTCTGTTATCACAGACATTGGAAATAGTTCATGAGATTGCTTAATGAGTGGCTAGATTTGATTCCGATATAATATTGTAGAAGACTTGTCCCAACTATCAGAGGGCTACAACGTCTTTATCTATCTACAGGTAAATTCCCCATATTCAAACCACGCTAGCCATACAGGACGTAGCATGTAAAGCCTGATTCGTATCATCATTTTGGGTTTGAGGTTTACCGTGCATATGCTACTCGAGTCGCATGTCTGACTACTATGCGATACGCTTAGGTATCAATCTAAAAACCCACACCAAAACCGAAACTACTCACAACCCTGATCATGACCCCATGAATAATTGTAACAGTAGCCTGCAACATAGCATAATTAGGCTAGACATCGTTGACCAGGACCTAATCCGAACAAGAAGTATCACCTTTTCATATACATAACTATCCAAATGCAACAGTCATCCCACTATCCAATGATTCTCATTACCATATTCAGTAGGTTCCAAACCATCAGATGTTTGACAGGCCCCTTGAAGATGCTGGAGCTCGAGGAGGTCTATGAGTGGTTAGGTGGCACTCTAGGAAGTGCAATGGGGCTTCGAGCTGTCCACAGCCATGATGTAGGTAGGCGCCCTCGTGGTTGAAACGGCGATGGCACTCTGCAAAGTCACCATGTCCTGAGCGGGCAGCGTATAGTCTAGAGAGAAATGGTCTGGCTAGTGAGAGTTCCTTAGGGTGACGAATTATGAGTCGATGGCAAGCTTCCCACAGGAAACATAAACAAACTGTTTAGGGCTAGTATTTCACCTACTTATATAAACGAAGCTTGCTAGGCCACATGTCCCTCCTGGCAGTACATAGATTTCATTCGTAGCAGTAGTACTCCCAAGCCGTAGCAAATAGCGTCACGATTCTTTAATACCTGCGTAGATTGAATTAGATTTCATTTAACGATAGAGATTCCTGACGGCAATAAGCCGTACAGGCACGCAATAACATTCTCTAAAGGACTCAGAGGCCGGGTTATCCTTTGTCCCTTGGCGTTCAATGTTCAGTAGTAATAAAAATAATTGTAGTGCTCTCGAGGACGGAGACCGTACACCTGTCAGTGGTATCCTCTACTAAACTGGGAGTGAATTATTCCCCCAGAGCCAAGATTCAGCCATCCCCCAACAGTTGAATCGTCTTTTACCCAGCTAAGAGTCTCGTCAGAAGGAGTAATGCTGGGCTAATTTTGATCATAACTCCCGGATTGCAGAGGTTTCTCAACCACATAAATCACAATGAAAATTATCCAGACCATTTAAGCCGATATTAGCTTATGTTGATTATCGAACTCCCCCTTAATACACCAAACAGTTTTTGAAGTCCCGATTGAATGCCGAAAAATGCCACAACACGACCCGCGACCATCTCTTCCAACACTGCTGTCGATGGGGGATGATCAGAGGACGCCAAACTTGGGTGAATGAATCTGAATGTTCTACGACGAAATCAAACCTTGCGAGTGAAGATTGGAAAGATGCTGGGCCATGTGTCATAATCTGCCAAGAGATCCCAGATCTGTGCAGATTTATGCATGCCAATATTTCATGCAAGTCCAAGGACATGGACTTGAGGGCAACCCATAATTAGTGCATCATAGATTTGTAATGGAATGGTATGGGATCGAATAGTATGGAATGATGAGGGATCGAATAGTGTAGAGTAGAATGGAATGGAATGTACTGGATAGTGTAGGAACTGTGATATGGCTCTCTAGGACATGTATATTATGAGATATATCTCCTAGCAGTAGGAGCAAGCAAAAGTCATCTGAATACAAGCGTTCCTCAGTTAACATAAGTCTTTTCTATATCTACGTTGATGTTCTACGAACATATATAGCATCCTTCCAAGGTAGAGACTCAACCCGTATGTGCTCATAATCTTAACACCATGGATGCTTTATAGGTGGTTAAAATGATGGACTTAAGATTGAGAATGTGTCAGCTAGAATGTTGACAGAGGCAGTCAATCATTCAAATATTTTGTAACTTTCCGAGGCGCTAACCAGTGGCTGGGCTATTTTGGGCCACAGGCACGTCGGGTAGTCTTTAAAGACTGAGCTTACCGGCACCTGGCCCTGTAGTCTAGTGTTGTGCGCCGACAAAACGTTATCAAAATATAGTCGTGCTTTCAAGTTAAAATTTACAACGTAATACCGTATCCCGATTATCTTTTGAAGACATGCGGTACGGCACACAAAATAAAGGGCTACAATATGAGACCAAATATGAATCATAGAATATTTTTAATGGAATTCTGGTTGATTTATTCTCAAATATATTATATGAAAATAATGGTCCTACCTCATTTCAGTATGGTCGAATAAAACATTTCTTATTTTTTTAGTTTAATCACTCTAAAGCTTCGAATCCCATTTTCGGAATAAGACAGAATAAGTGATTTTTTTTCTAAATTAGGATGTTATATATCTAGGTTTGATCCTAATATTTGCTCTAAAGGTGACAGGTAAGTTTTTCACCATCAGAATTTACATGCACATGAAATGAACATGCCCAAATTCCAGTTTTTGAATTTTCTTCATTACAATTATAGTTATCTTGAAGGCATGTATTTTTATCGGAGCTGCGAATCCTAGGTAGGTCAGCAAATTTTATACAAAAATTTAATAATAAATTTTGACTTGCCTTGGATCCTGACAAGGCACATAGCTGAGACATACTTTCAAAAAGTCATTTATGAAATCATTACTAGCCTTGAAAAGTTTGGTGATTATCTCAATACATTCCTCAGGTTTGGTTCGCATTTGATAAACAAGGCACGCAACAACAAACTTTCGTAACAGTGATTTTTCTGAGGTATTGCGATATATCGATATGATAAGTGGAATTTCTGGCAATCTGTTCGAGAGCAAAAATCCATCTTGAATCTTATCTAATATTTGGTTTCGGATGGTAGACTCTAATTCTAGGAGCTCAACCATCACATAAAGTCGACAAAGACTCTGAAGTCTTAGTGCTTTGGAATCGTCATTCATTGTTTTCAGGACAGCAGGAACCTGGCGCGTGTAGATCATGTCGACGAAATGTTTAAAGACTTCAGGGCTTTCTTTAGATAAAGTGATCCGGCGCCCTTTTGAGTGCGTCTCGAGTTCAAGGGAATTAACAAAGGCTCCACCAGTAGCCATAAGAAGATTCTTGTGGATCGTAAACACCTTTTTTTCGGGACCGATTACGACTTGAACCACCTCAGAGCCCATATCGCTTTTGATCCCAACACTTAGTTATGAAGTTCTTCAATTTGGTGAGGGTATAAAATCTTGATACTTACTCGCAGAATAATCGTGCAGCTTGGTCTGTGGTAGTGTCTATAGGGGAATCCTGTATAGGCGTCTTCGCTGCGGAGGGACTGGCAACTGTTTCCTCCTTTGTGCTCGCAGCTTCAGAGGCAACTTTAGAGCCATTCATAGTTGTAATTATTTTGAGAGATAAGTATCAGCTTGATATGTTACCGTGTATAAGTGTGGAGAGAACTTGAGAATGAAGACAAAGCCAGATAGCTAATATCACATGATAACTTCGCTTTAATGGAAATTGTGAAGGTGAACACTTATTTGGTTGTCCTACTACAGGACCTAACTTATATTTTGTTTCTTTTCTATCTCCCATACGTGTTTCTACAAATTTATAGTTATGCATATTCATGAGAACCTAAAATAGTGACCGCGTTTGAGCTCTAAGGGAAATAATAACTCTAAAGAACAAACGACTGTAGTAAACAGCAGATCCTCGGGAAAAATGAGGATGTAAGGTAGCTCAATTTTTTTCGCACTCGACCCTTTTAAGAATCACAAGTTTTCAGGATGTTAATTGCGATTGAAAGTCTTTGTGGAAAAGCAAGGGACCGGCCTTGCAAGTCAATTGTGTGCCCAATGTAACTTTTGGTCATACTTTGTCCGGATAATCTTATTAGAGTCTGGCTCAAGAAATTTCAAGAAATAGATTGAAATTTCGTTTCAAGGGCCATTAACTCTAATAAAATGGAAACACAATTCAAGTTGCTTATGTAGGACTTGTATACAGTGATTACACCATTGCATTCCAGATCTGGTTTGGTGCTTTAAGCGAGAGAAGTATGATAATTATTTTGCTGTATACTCCTAGAAAACAGAAGAGCACAGTTATGTCCAATTATCTGGAAGATAACAACCTACACAACCACTATTCTCTTGCTTAAGAATAACAGCAATTTTTTGAAGGTTGGCTTAGAATTAAGCTTCTCAATAAATAATCCAAGTCTTCAGTTTGATCCTGATGATAGTTCTGGATTTCAACTAGAGTCCCCCCTGAGTACGATTCAAATCACGTATAGATATGAAGAACAACAGAACAAGATGCCCGGAATTTGATTATTTGATAAAATTTACCAACGAAAAATTTTCAAGTAGGCAAGGTTAAAAACTCAAGACAAATACTATATGTCAAGCTCATAGGTAGCAAAAAATATATCATAAAATACCAGTTGTATAAAAAAGAAGAGGCAAACATTATTTGTATCTACCGAGGCAACCAATTCTGAGGATATTAAACATTGATTGTCCTAGATATTAGCCTTGCATGCAGTTTATGATCGGTTTCTGAGCTAGTTAAAGCATATTTATAGAGTAAAATGTCCACCAGATTGTGCTTCTTTAGTTGCTACACCCTGAAGTAATCGTAAGAAACGTAAATGAAAATTATTTCAGGCTACCCTTGTGTGATAAGCTATAATCACTTTTATTGTTCCATTTTAGGCTGAGCAGAAGGATTCAGATTACTGGAATTGAAATTCAAATTAAACGATAAGAGAGCAAATTCACGAGGAAAGAATTAAGGAGACTTAGCACTTGCTATGATTTTATTAAGAAAATTTATCAGTGTTTGGGTGTTAGACTTCTCCTAAACGTAGGTCCAAACTCATTGTTCAAAACTATTGGTGTCTATAATTTACATGTGTGACCTCTTAACTATTATTTCATGTCATTCCCACTTCCAGAAGGTGAGATAGCTAACACCTTAACTCCAGTTTTAACTCTTAGCCCACTACAGCTCTTTAATTTAAGACTGAAGACATGAAGGCACTTCATGGACGCCAAAAATCTCCCTGGACAGCCACTGGCAGACAGTATAAATAACGATGTTCAAGCAGTGGATACCACTAATGTAATATGATCCGTACACTAAAAGTGTAAATTTCCCAAATAATCCTAAAAACTAAGTATTGACTGGCCACGTCATATACTAGCACACAATTTATCATAGCATAAGGAAAATAGGGATAAATTGAAAGATTTTTCCTCCAACTTCGGGGCAACCGTGGCACGTTCGATAAATTTTGGCTTTAGAAATGTACCTTGAAATATCCTCGTCAACAGTCGTTATCCGCCAAAAATTTTCAAGGACTGATTCCTATTAAATTACTTATGAGGGAGTTTTTGGCGACGTAACCAAATTTCTTGACGTAGACGACCTTGAAGCTATAACCTCGCGGCCATAAAACTCAACAAGCATGGTACCGTAGATTTCAAGCTCTTCTATTGATACTGAGAGTCGAAAGTCATTAAGAAGAAGAAATTGGAGTTCGAGGTGGTTAAGTTCTGCCAGTGAAAGGCCGCCAACCTGAGCACCAAGATATTAGGTTCAAGAGACATCGCGTAAGAGCGATACAAATCATACCTTGGCATATCTCGAATTCGTGTAGAAGACATCAGAGAAAAACTTGCTCGCACAAGTTACGCCAGCTATGACAAGCCGGTGTATATTGAAACTATCAACAACAAAGTGCCGTGATTGAACCGAATCCTCAACGTTACGTCTTGTAGAAGATTTAGAGGTGCACGGGCGAGTCTCAGAATCAGGTTTTGAATCGATTCCATGCTGCGAAGCTGTGGCGTTGTTGTCCATCAATGTCGACTCCTCGAGGTCGATTAGACTATTTTCAGAGGTTACTTCATCCCTTTCTGACACGTATGCCGGAGCTATATTGACACGTTCTGTCATCCGATCAAAATACACTAACAGGCTCAAAAAAACTTCGTATGTTGTAGGACAGTATTTATGTATGCGGCTCAAATAGTTGAAGATAGTGATTCCAGGTACATTTTTTCCATGAAATGATAGCACACTAGAGGAGGGTTCATAGACGCTCTTGGAATTGCCACTAGATCTTATAGTCTGATCATTCATTCTTCTACGTTGTCTATCATTTGATGCCATGATCCTTGATAAGAGACAAGCTACCATTTCAATGATGTCAGTTATTGGCATGCTGCTTATTTCATATCTGGTAGTATTGGGTTGCCCCACTGTGCGCCGTCGGGATGAGAAACTTTCAAAAGCAAACTCCTGAATGTGCTCCAAGTCCCGAACGTTAACTATATTCCCAATATACCGCTTGAAATCGTCCGATGATCCTGGCGGTCGTGCTAAGATTATATTGCGTGTGGAGCCAAGAGATGGGCTCGACGCATTTTTCAGTCTCGTGTTTTGCATATAGTACTGAGCTACTCTCCCAACGTATGAAGCTGATACACCGTAATTTTCCTGGCTCATGAAGCGAAAGCTGGGACGAGTAGAAAGCGATTGAATGTCTGGCTGGATTGTTACAAATTCCTTTGCATCTTCATCATGGTCAGAATCTTTAGCTGAACATACTAAAATACGACTCGCACTGGGAGGGGGCGTGTCTTCCGACAAGGGTGTGGGCTTTGGTAGTGGGCTCGAAGGAACATCAAGAGAGTTCACCAATTGCAAATACTGCGTCTTTGGTGGCGATCTTTGTTGAGCAGAGCTGGCTAGCATCGTATGTTTTGGGTAGAATCGTGAAGAGTCTATTGGTATGTCACTTATGACAGCAGCCATACCAGACTGCGTTGTATGTAAGGAGTTCGAGCAGCTGGAAGAGATAATTAGCATCTATATCAAAGGCTTTATAATTGTGCCTGCATAGGCTGATCGTTAATAATAGAGGAGAGTGCAGAAAGATGTATCATGGCACAATTAGGGCTGAGGTAATGGGTAGGATATGCTTAAGAATCCAAAGGTTGGCTCATTGCCGAGATCCAGACATGCGAGACAGAGTGAAGAGAGGTTGATGTGGCATGGACTGCTTTTGGGCAAATTATTGATTGCGTGAGATGTATAGTATGGGAACAGAAGATGCGTGAGGCATTTCCGTGTGAGAGCCATAAATTTGCGCGTATCACAGAATTACCAGTGTAGTTCATTTTAAATACCTCTGGGACAGCTTACCTGCTGCATTCCTGGGCCTCAGTGGTAGTCAAGCTGGTAGATGCGGAGATACTCCAAAACCTGTTGGGATCTTGTCGAAAGACAATCCAGCACGTTGAATAGTTTTTAACCGGTTTTCAAAGATGCGAGATAGACTAGTAGGATTACGGTAAGTTGTATTGTAGAGATGAGTGCAAGCAATTAGGATTGACAGTGGGCCCGAAGCGATGAGAGTGAAGCGGCCAAGCAGCTACGGAAGGATCTACACGCTGGCATGAGACGAGAAATTCAATCATACTACACTAGGCGGGCTGGCCCTTCAACAGACGGCGACGTCTTAATAAGGAACCACTAATACGGTAGAATTATTTTTAACGTGAGGTCGGCTCAGTGCATAATAGTATTACTTTGTGATGACGCGGTATCAACCATGTAAGCTCCACAGACAAAATATACTATCTAATCAAAATTTTTGCTTCAAAAAACTTTGGTAAACTTATGTTAGCACCTTTGCAAATCTTACCTTTATCATGTGAATCATTATTTGCTACCTCTCAATCTTTTGTGCTGCTTCGGTTTACAAATGACGAACTGAATAGTCTGTATCTGGCAGATATAGATGCCTATCTGCTCCTTTTGCCGTGAGAACCACCATCCGAATCACGCCACCGGAACTCCCGTCCCATTTAATAGCCTCCTGCAGAGCGGCTTTGACAAAATTTACAGCAGCTTTTTCGTCCATACCTTCTCTCCAATTTGAATCACAGAATCCATAGATGTAAGTTGAGCCCGAGCCACCGATTGCGTATGGTTGTTTGTGTAAAGATCCACCAAGAGGTATAGAGTATACCTGACCGCCGTGTCGCTCATCCCAACCAGCAATGATCAAGCCAGCACTGCCCCTTTAATTAGTAACGTTGAAACCGGGTGAGAAAAATATTGATTTTACCTTAATTGGTCTTTATTTTGGTAGCAAAGTTCTTGAAACATGGCAGCTGCTGTTTGGGTTGTTGGCTGTCGGCCATTCTGGACGCTATACATTCCAAGTTGATAATGCACAATATCTGCAAGCGCTTGAGTGTCTGCAGCTGAACCGGACCTACAGCACCAAATGGTGTCATGTACCTGCGTGAGCTTGTCGGTAACACGATTTGCGATGTATGATCCAGTAGTGGTCCTGCTATCCGCGCCTGTAACTCAAAGTCAGGCAAGAGTAAAGTAGATGAGAGAAAAAGGAGCAAACCTAATATGACTCCATCTTTAAAATTTACTGCCATTCTAGGTTTTGTCAACTTATAATATCGAGAAGTTTACTTAGGCAGTGACCTACATTGAGGTTCCTAGACTATTCAATGATTAACTAGATCATCCTAGTTTAAGTTGAAGACTCACTTCACTTCACCCTTTTTTAGGCGTTCCATATCTACGTGTATGCCATCTTCAGATTCATATTAATTACCATGTTATAATTGAGGGATTGGAGTTATTTAACCTTCGTTTAAAGTTCCCGTGTTTCCGAACTCCATAGCTATATCTGACGATGATTTGACTTGATATTTATTCCAAGGAAAGCCTGGGATATGAACTTGCGAAGAGCTATACGGTTGATGGCGGTTGCTAACCAGGGATGCTTCAGATACGAGGATCAATAGCTTCCCAGATTCAAGTTGATCGGCGATATTTTTACAGGGTGAATATGTTAATCTCTATGAAATTAAAGGTAGAGTTGTCGTACGTGATAATTAATCGATGGTCAAGTAGTTGTTCATGGCATCCTGCTGTCACGGGATGAGCTTCAACATAGGGTCTCACGTAGCGAGCGTGCTGCAGATCACTATCAGCACATTTGCACTCATTGCTAGTGCTAAATGGATGTTATAATTTTGAAAGCACCACGCGTTTCCAGTCTTGTGTTATAAACACTTGCTTGGCGTGGGCTGGGTCCTCTAATAGCTTTTGTGTCGAGATTAATGGGTGTTGCTGGCCAAATTTTGATTGAGAACTTTAACTTCAGAGATCCTAAAAACGCAAAAATTAACAAGAAAATACAATACCACTAACCAACCGCTTTCATGGAAGATGAAGGCTAAATACTCTTTAAGGGCTCCTCTATGAACCTAGAGGTGAGATACCCCTATAGAACTAGGATATAGTCACGACACAGAGTGAATTTGAAGGTTCGATGACACAGCGACTGGGAAGAGTGGCATCGGCAGGCTGTTGGTTGAAGATTCGAACTATTGAGATTTCACTACTGCAAAGATCAATGACTTGAGTCATTTAGACCCGAAATACGAATCTCAAACATGCCCAAACCTACCTGATCTTTTAAATCTCCTGTTATTCTTTATAATCTCAATTCTTGAAAAAACCTTAAATAAATGATCTCATCTCACTTCTTATCTGTAGAATCCAAATTTCATTATCGCAATATAAGATAAAATATGACACGCATCCATTACTCTACGCTCTACCAGGAAACAGTCCAAGTATCGTCCTAATGGTCATCTAGACATCGGACAAGAGCACTAAAGTCTCGATCTACCACAAACGTACTCTGGCGAAACAGGTACAATATCACTCCACCATAATAACCAGAGAAATCGACATTTCCGAGGCATCGGGGCTGAGCTCTTATTCATTTATCAGATTTCCACGGCTAGGGAGATCGTAGCAGCAGGGCAAGACTGAAGAGAAAAAAGCTCTAAAAAGTTAATGAGATGGCAGTACTGACAAATAGAAACAAGTGAGGCCGCAATGAAGCAACAGAGGGGAATCAGATCGGATGATACTTTGGTGGGCGACTGTATAAGGCTCCCAATGAAGAAAAAAACACCTGTATTCGACAAGAGGTAACTTTGAAGAAGCGAAACTGGGACTTAACATATTATAAAAAGTGAAGATTGAGTATGTATCAAGAGCTTTGGTGCGTGATGGCTGTGTTTGAAGAGGAAATTGTGCTTCGGCGTGTCAAAAGAGGGTTCTCTGAACGGTTAGGCTTAGTATGTTCAACACATGAGTGAAATCTGAGGTGATCCGGTCATTGCAGTGGGACGAGGTAGATATACTTTATGGTAGTTAACCTGATCCAGTCCGGCCCTACTCGTGCTTAAGCTCCAGTAGGAGTGCAACGGCAGTCACTGTACCTAGCACGTTAATGAACAAATCAAACCAGACCAGACCTCCCCACTTAATGTTCGACGCGTCAAGACGTCGAAATGGTCCTTAACCGGCCACAACGGCTATCTCTCATCCACACAACAGTTTGTAGAGCTAATCTACGAAGCAAGTCATCGACACTCATTCAACAATCAAGCTCTGTTGCCTCAAATTATCGCAACTGAATTCCTCGCCGAACAGGGCAGGATATTCCAGACGCGCTCTGCACAAGCGGAACGTTTCATCATCGGGTTCTGCAAACTGATGGAATCAGTCACTGACGAGAGATTTCGAAAACTCTTTGATCAAGACTTACTGGCCCTTCGGGACAAGATCTTGGAAATTCTGTGGGGAAACCCATCTCAAGCAGACGCCTACGCTCCCCCAAAGGCTGCAAGTGGCCATGCCAATTCATCCAATCCGGCTCAAGTTACAAAGCCTCTCCAACAAAACCTAGCAAGCGTCACACGTCCAGTACTGATCCTTGCAAGAGAAAAGAACAGACCAGCACCAAACAAGCTGTCAGCCGCAACAGCAACCATCCAGCCTAAACAGGGCTCATACATATCCCACAACAACACCACAGAGAAATCTTGGACTGAGGTGTCGGGAAAAAGGAATAAGCCAGCAAACCAAGCGGCTCCAACCACTATATCTAAGACAGTACCAATGAGGCCTGCCTCCACGCTGATGCCTAAAGCATCAGTATGTGTGTGTGTTTTATTTGAACTACTTGAGTATATGAATATCTAGCACATGGGGCTCCTCTCTGACCCAAGCAACACCTTGTACAGTGCTTCTATCCTCTTTTGTTACTTGAAAGATCATCGATATATTCCCCTTGATGGATAGCCATTCAGCGCAGTGTTTACCCGTGGAATTCAGCCTCCTTTTCCACGCAACCTTCTACCCAAAAAAATTAAAATGGTAGCTATGGAAACAGCGTGCGCGGGAAAAAGTCTCAAAAAACCTGCAGCCCCAGCCAGGCGAGGCCTAGACACCGGGACTACATAAGTTGCGCCTATTCATATATATCTCCCTTCTTTGTAACAGTCGAGGCCGACTTGATCCAATCCACCATCTCCGTATCGGGTGCTGGGTACGCTCCGAAAACTCATCGGATGTCTTTTCCTCCATGATCAAGGGTTGGTGACGAGAAGGGCATCAACCTTACCATGTGATCTGATCGTGGTTAGCTTCATGATAATGGTGAAAGGAGAATCTGTTGAGAGATGAAGACGATACTGTGACAGTCGGGGAAGTTCTCAAGTTGGCATGAGATGCACGGTCATTAATTTACGATTCTTCTAAAGAGAGAATATGTATGTACAAGAAGGGCTTATTTATACCCGCGCTCTCCTCCAATATGTGGCCCGCATCTATTCCTAAGAGCGGACAGATGTACCTATGGGGAGTTTAGGTTTCTGCATTGGTATTAACTCCTGACGCTCGCCCTACCACTCGGCTACATTTCAATCAGTTTCGCCGTACCCGAAACAATCCACTCTGAGCCCATCCGAGTGCTGTTAACTTTCTCAATAGATGTCCCGGCACACGGTCCACCATACAGTCCTCTAATTTTGTCACTCTCCGTGCTCGAGGCAACCCCCCCCCCCGCGATTGTCCGAGTGTTTGCTAGTAGTCCGAGCAGTAGAGTGAGTTTTCCATTACCTGATGTCCCAGCGGGTGGAAAAGGTGCCTGCGTTGGCCAATGCAGGCTACAGGGTTTACCGTCGGTTCACTAGCCGTTACAGATACAGACCGCGAAAGCAATTAGGAATCCTCGTCGAAGTGAGGACTTTTTATTCAATCTCGGCTCTGCAGAATCTGCATTGAGAGTTGGAGATTCGCAGGGGACACCACTAACAGGTGTTGAGAAAAGTCACCCTAAAGCATCAGTAACAAACCCTCAACGACCTGACGAGCGTGTATTCTTGTGTCTTAGACCTGACCACCCGTGGAGACGTATGTCACCCCACTTCGTAAAAATAAGCTTGGCTAGCAAGGTGCGTCTGGCAAACTGGGAAATTCAACAGGTCACTGTTGTGAACTCAGGGTTCGCAATACAAGCCAAAGGGGAAGGTGCAAGAGGTGCACTTCTCTAAGGAGGAGCCATATGAGAAAGCTCAGAAATGAAATTGGAAGCCGCCTTCAACTGGGTCTCAGTTCTGGCACCGAATATCCCAGACAAGCTTTACACTTTGGAAAGGCCAACCACAGTGACAATAGAGATGGTAATAGAAGAAGCAGCTCTCAAAACAGGAGTTATACCAACCTCGGCTCGTGCTTTCGCAACTATCATGGCTAGGCCGTCAATGGACTGGGTGTTGCACTTTACAATAGGAAAACCGAAGCTCAGAGAAAGACTTTTCGAAGAGAGCGGTCGCTTACATGAACTTCAGCGCAAGGTCAAAATTGCGCAATGCAACTGATGCTGGGGATATCACCCAACAGAAATTTGCTCACGATGCGGATCCATCGAGCATAAAGCAGCTGTCTATAAGCAGACCATCCCGAGTTGTATGAACTGCCATGAGCCAAATGCAGCTATCGAGCCCCATTTCATGGCTAGACCAACCCTGATGGCGGCAAAACTGTGCAGCGAACTAAAGACCAGCTGTCAGTGATCCGTAAGCAGGGTCAAAAAGAAAGAAACACTTCGATCCGAGAGTTGGAAGCAAAGCAGAAAGCCACCGAGGCTACTATTAAAGTTCTAGGTGGTATCTGGAATGATAGAAGTGAACGTTGACCGTCAAGTCAATACTGTACGAATCGTAAGATATTGGGGATTTAAGGATCAGAGATAAAAGGTTAGGATCAGTGAGGTTTTGGTTTTACTGAACTTATATTTCGGTAATTAAAAGTGTTAGTGTTTAATCTACATCTAATTGTCTATCTATGTTCTACCTCGCTTAGGAAGAAACATTGTGTTCTGATTACGTGATGGAATGACATTCACACCACCGAGATCATCACCAACCGAGACCTCACAAAAGTTGGTAGCGATCGAAGATGAGTAGTCTTCGTCTACTCCGCACTGCGTGCAGTTCGGTCTGGCATGTCTAGATTTCAACAGCTACTGCTGAAAATGAATCTTCAAACAAATCTCAATGCCCGTAAGGGACCACAACCCTACCAAGCTCCACACAACGGCATCAACGATCTCGTTCCTCTAGGCTAATTTGGGCAGAGGAAATCCCGCTACAGACATCATTCTGCAATCCGTTTGGGATTCAGGAACCGATGTCCTACTTATTCAGGAGCCCTGGACCCAACATAAGGACGGCTCCTGGCTCACCAAGTCCCACCCCGGGATCGACAAGCATTTACCACCCCGTGTCGCTGCTACCTCCACAAGGCCGCGCTC